AACCCCAAAACACCCCAAAAAAATCCTAAACCCACCCCAAAATACACCCAAAAAATGCCCAAAAAAACCCCAAAACAGCCCAAAAAAATCCTAAACCCACCCCGAAATACACCAAAAAAACGCCCAAAAAAACCCCAAAACACCCCAAAAATCGCCTCCAGGACAACCCCAAAACACCCCAAAAAATCCTAAACCCACCCCCAAAACACACCAAAAAATGGCCCAAAAAAACCCCAAAACACCCCAAAAAAATCCTAAACCCACCCCGAAATACACCAAAAAATGCCCAAAAAAACGCCCAGACCCAATCCTAGATAAACCCAAAAATACCCCAAGAACACCCCCAAAATACCCAAAAAAACACCCCCAAAATACTCCAAAAAATACCCAAAATGCCCCCAAAACACACTAAAAAACATCACAGAAACACCCCCAAAATACCCCAAAAATCACCCCCAAAACCACCCTCAAAATATCCCAAAAAATCCCACAAAATACCTCAAAAATAACCCCAAAATGCCCCCAAAATACCCCAAAAATCACCCCAAAATGTCCCAAAAAAATTCCCCAAAATACCTCGAAAATAACCCCAAAATACAAAAAAAACCCAAAACCACCCTCAAAATATCCCAAAAACCACCCCCAAAATACCTCAAAAATACCCCCAAAATACCCCAAAAAACACCCCCAAAACCCCAAAATATCCCAAAACCACCCCAAAAAACACCCCCAAAACCCCAAATAGCTCCAAACCACCCAAAAATAGCCCAAAAACCACTCCCAAAAACCACCCCAAAATAGCCCAAAACCACCCCCAAACCCCCAATATAGTCCCAAACCACCCCAAAAATACCCCAAAAACCACCCCAAAACACCTCACTGTGCCCCCAAAATACCCCAAAACCACCCCAAAATAGCCCAAAACCACCCCAAAATAGCCCAAAAACCACCCCCAAAACCCCAAAATAGCCCAAAACCAGCCCCAAAACACCTCACTGTGCCCCCAAAATACCCCAAAACCACCTCAAAATAGCCCAAAAGCACCCCTAAACCCCAAAATAGCCCAAAACCAGCCCCAAAACACCTCATTGTGCCCCCAAAATAGCCCAAATCCACCCCAAAATAGCCCAAATCCACCCCAAAATAGCCCAAAAACCACCCCAAAACCCCAAAATAGCCCCAAACCACCCCCAAAACACCTCATTGTGCCCCCAAAATGCCCCCAAAACCCCAAAACCACCCCAAGAAAAGCCCAAAAGACCCCAAAACAGCCCAAAATATCCCAAACCCATCCCAATTTAGCCCAAATTCCCCCCAAATACCCCAAAACCTCCCCAAAATTCCATCCAAAGCTTTTCCCAGTTCCTCCCAGTACCCCCAAATCCTCTCCCAGTCCCTCCCAGTAACCTCCAAACACCCTCCCAAACCCTCTCCCAGTAACCCCAAACCTCTTCCCAGTGCCCCCCCGTCTCTCCCAGTAGTTCCCAGTCCCTCCCAGTCCCTC